TTTTATCCTTCATCATTATTTGTGCTTCCTGTTTGCTCCCCTGTGAATAATTCCCACACTGCGAGACAGGAGGAAATGCGAGGCTATTTTGGGCATGAGACATCAGATGTTGTGGTTTTTGGGCAGACTTTCAGAGGGGGCAGTGTGTTTCCCCCTGGCCGTCTGTCTCGTCTAACTATTACAGTAAGGCTGACTGCTCACTGTCTGTATGCAATTAGCATCATAAAGGGGGAGAGAGGCCTCTGCTTCATGCCTCCCAGCGTGACGACACCTCTCCCAGCCAGCCCATTTCTGGACTTTTTTTCTCCCATATAGCTGCCTGTCTTTCCCCAGGTGTTTTTGATACAGACAGTCTCCGCTCTCAGTAATAGTCAGTTTTTTTTTGACTGACATATTTGGCTGGCTTGTCTGGCTGATTCATGCTGTACAGTGCGGGGGAGGAATGGACACACATTTGTGAGGGCTGCCCAGTAAATTAAAGCAGATAGTTTGAGTGTGCCTTTAAAGCTCTGATATACCCTTTAGTGTATTTATTGTTATAAGGTTTGTTAGGGTGACTAAAGTGCTCTGCCTACGTCAGTCTGTCTGTGCTTGCCGCTTTGTACCCACTCCTGGCTCCAGAGTTGTGTTTAACAAGAGGAAATGGCTTAAACGTCACAAAAGAAACAGTCGCAGGAGGAAAAGGCCGCACATGGAATTCTACTTGAGCTTCAGGAAATGATGGATCGCTGTGATGTCCTTACGTAATCATGGTGCCACAGCAAACCCAGCCAATTAAAGAGCTGCTCATTTTATCCACACATTTGAAAAAATGGATTTTCCTGATGCATCATACAGACTTTTGTCATCATTGATTTCATAATACGATGTCAAACAGGGCGGTTAATGGAGGAAACTGGGAAAATACGGTTTGCAGATTAAAAAACAGATTTTAACTTTAACAGATGGTCTAGAGATATCGAGATTTCCTTATTTGCAAATAGAGGAAGCATACACTGGAGGAATATAAAACTGACCTTCTCAACTTTAATGTATTCACTTGGCAAACCCACTGTATGCTCATGGGTTTGGTTTCACTTCCGTTCTCCTCTTGGAGGTCATTAATAAAGTTAGAATTAGAAGTTTTTTAAGTGATTGTTTCCCTTTTTTTTTTACACTATTCTTTTACTTTTGAACACGTTTCTATCTGCTTAGCATTTACATTGTGAGCTTTGGATATCTGCAGAGTGGTTAAATCTAATACTGGATATGTTCAGGATACGTTTTTTAATAATACAATCTGTATGAAATTAAGCTCTAAATAAGTTCTACATATTAGTAATATTGTTATTTGCGTATATTCACAATGGCTTGTTGTCTTTTTGCAACTAAGAAACAGGAAATCTTTTCACATACAGTGACAACAAATTACTCTTTGTTTTTTGAAACACCACAACAGTCTCAGGTGACACAGATCACACAGCTCCTCTCATTCATTGACTTCTCTTCAGACGTAGAGGCTGAGACGGAGGTGAAACAGACAAATATATCACTGCGATGATGTTAGCACTGAGTCTTGTGAGCCGTGTGCCTCAGCATGATTCACTGCTGCTGATTGCTGACAGTTTATGTCATGGTTTTCCCCCCCGACTTCAGCTGCCTACGCTTTTTTTCCATTTCGTCGAGCTGCTGGAACAACATCTGGACCCTGCAAAAACCGCGCTGCTTCTCCTTTGTTTGTTTAAATGGAACTTTTCCCACAGTTTTCACACTTAGGGAATGATATTTTTTGAAAGATTGTGAAAGCTGACTTCATGTTATCTGTGCCAAAATAATTGAAAACAAAGAAATATATCAGCAATGGAAGCCGTTTAAAAACATGTCCTTGAATTACAAGAAGATTCCGAGAATTCAGAGGCAACACTGCCGCTTAGATCTTTGCCAAAAATGTGCTGAGTGGGGTATAAAAGAGTTGTCGTGGGCAGAGCTGGGTAGGAGGGCTGGGCACAAGGAGGGAGGGACGGAGGGAGAGGGGGAGAACATGCCACAGAAAGGGGGAGGATTGAAGGAGAGATTTAGTGTTGGGACAGACACATGGTGGTTGGGGGTAGATGGAAAGAGAAAGGGGAAAGAAGGAGCTGAGGATCTGAGCTCAAACTGCGAGCTGCGTTCAGAGAAGAGGGCAGGAATGTGGCTCAGTGTGGGAATGAAGATGCTCCGACATGCTGAGAGACAATTTTAAGTCTTAAGGGATATTTGAAGCACTCCGGCTGAATGATGAAAATATCCCGTAAGTACAAATTAGTTTGTGACTGGATGTAAACTGTAAGATAACATAGAAAGGCCTGAGTCTCTTTGATGATTAGGATATTTTTTTAATAGAGAATAATCCTTAAAGAATGAATCGGATGTTTTATTGTTTATGAAAGTGTATGAAAGGAAGAGGATTATCATAGTCACAAAGCTCCACTCTCAGACAAATGCATCTCAGGGCAATCAAAGCTCATCATAAAGCCCTGGAAAGTTTTCAGCCACATGTGGTCGGCTGTAAATATTTTTGTGAAAGAGAAGAATGTGAACGAGCCTTTTAAAACTGTCATCCTTTTGGCAGCGTTTGTGTCTGCTCTGCCCGATCACTGTCCAAGTGTGCCATGTCGTTCCCTGCAGCTCTTTGAAAACATGTCATATCTCGGCGATGAATTGCATAACCCCTGTTCGTGATAGTGAATGTTGCATAAAGTCAATTGTAAAGGGAGGAGTTGCCTTTAGCGGTATTTGACAGTCTGGGCTTTTGTGTCACAGACAAACGGGGTCTCATCTCGTTGTGAAACTGTAATTTTATACTGTACACAGTTTTAAAGCTTGCGGAGAGCAAACACAAGTTCTCATTCATTGGCACCATGCCCGCCCAGCCTTTTATCCACAGGAGATTTCCTTAGAAAGAGGATGAGAGGACAGAATGTCTCGGTATCGAGTTACTGGATGCCAAACAGAGAGGAATTCCCAGCTCAGGTTACGTGCTCTCAGGGGTCCAACCTGCGGCTGTGGGACACAAGAGGACCAGGCAGCGCTCGTACTGAGGAGCTGAATAATACTGGCCTGATATTATCCACCTGGGAAGGAAGGTCAGTGGAACAGAAAGCCTTCAGCTCCTGGTGATACAGGTGGGAACAGAGCAGGGCGGAGCAGCAGACACATGTTGACTCCTCTGCTGCTAAAGGGGGAAAACAGTAGGCTGCTTTTGTCATCCAAGGACGCGGGGAGCTGTTAATATTTATTCAGTTGCTGGTCAGACTGAAGACCAAAGTCACTTTTCATTGATTTCTGGGTGACACACATGTGAAGCAGCACAGGTGAGTCCCATGAGCAACTGTTTTTTCGAGAAGTGGGTGATAGCAGTATCTCTTTGCAAGGTTACAGTGGCAGTAATTACACAGTATTGTGTGGTGAATGAGTCCGCTTCAATGAGTCTATGTCTGTGCAGTGTGACAGACATAGACCCAACGAGGAGCTGAGACCTCAGATGTGTGATGGGAGAGCTGGTGTGTTACCCATGGGTGCAGATTACGTGTAGCCCTACATGGATGTGATGTGTTTGTGCTGATGAAATTCGTGACAGTCGGATAGATCTCAGGCGTGTGGAGAGAAGAGTTTAATTAGCTGTGTGGTTTGAAGAAGGACTGAAGCTGGTAAGAATGTTTTCACGCTATATTTAAAGTTTGAGCTTAGTGTTTATTATTTTAAATGATTTATATTGTAAAGGATTACATTTTCTAATAACCAAATAATGGAGCTTCATCGTGAAAAGCTGTGTGGATGAAAAGTGATTTGTTCATGCTGCAGCATAGCCTGATAACATTTTTGAAATAGGATTCTGATGTCTGATGTCTAGACCTGCAATAACATTTTTTATAGTTAACAAGTTACTGATTACTTTTTAGATTATTCATTACATTGTTCACATTTCAAAATAATCTGAAAAATGAAAAAGAAAACAGTCTACCAAAGCCTCAAGTGGAATTTTTAATAACTTATGTTCAACCATCAGTTGATTGTGGAAACCAGCAGATATTTACATTTCGACTGAATGGAGTTAGAAAGAGTAACACAGATATTTAAAATTAGTTAACGTAATTTAAAGTAAATCTGGTAAAAGTCTCAGTTCTTCCTTGTTACAATAAAGTGAAGAAAACTGTCTCCATATTGATTTAAAAAGTACTAAAAAATACTGATGTAAAGATTTAAGAAGGTGTTGTGTTTTCAGGCCGCTTCCTTGCCCCCCTGCTTTAGAGTCACATTTGATCAAACGTGTTTATGTATTTTCTCTCTGAGCACAGAGCAAACTGTGTATGTAGCACTGGTGCGTCAGAGAGTGCGTCTCACTCAGGCGGTAAATGACACCAAACTCTATTAGCATTAATGGAAAGGTGCCAACGGTCTGTTTCCTCTCCTTGTCATCAGCCGCTCTGAAGGCTGCAGAGGGACCTGCATGTGATCCCGTCTGCTGGAGGCTTTTGTTTATCAAGAAGTGGATGTGATAGTTTGTTTTGTCTGAAATGTATTTTAATGCGATCTATAGCTTTTTATTATTCTTTAAATTGTTGTTTTGGTGTTTTTATTCATGATAGTACCTCTGGCTCTGTGTGGTGAAGTGTGTTTCTGTCTTTACTTATTTTACCTTCTTTAAAGTCCTCAGTTTGATCTTTTATCACACACATTTTACTTACGTCAAACAGAAAGTTATATAAGATCCCATGTTGTTTCACTTGAGTGAGCTGGGATACATCCAACCAGACAGCTCGACCCCTCAGGTCATCACAGCCGTGTCATCTCCAACATATCAGACAGACTTTCAGAAGTTTTAGAATAACCAAAGTCTGTCAGTCATACAGGGGATTTCTTGGCTGCTTCTGTTGATGCTCCAGTGATTATGTCAAATTAAAACTGACCTCATGTGATGGAGTTTCACTTTTAATCTCTCCTTTTTAAAAACAAAACATGTCTTGTGTTTTCTCTTGCAGAGATCGAGGCGAAAGAGGCGTGCGACTGGCTGCGGGCAGCAGGATTTCCCCAGTATGCTCAGCTTTTTGAAGGTAATAAAAGCACTCTTTCACCTCCTACACATATATTTCACAAGGGGAGGAAATGTTGTTTGGATAAAAGACAGAGATGAATGAGGTAGCACACTAATCGAAGGACTTTGTAATAAACTCAAAAAGACATGTTTTAGCGTAACTGGCTCATCTGACTTTTGTTTTTTCAAAGAGGATGAGTAGAATAATGCAACACAGTGTCATCTGGTCTTTAACCAGTGTACACAAAACCATGCATTCACAGGCTGCACACAGTGAGCCTCATTTACACAACTGTCCTCAGGAAGCCTCGGAGCAAGGGCTCCAGACGGATCCCCAGACACCGCAAAACTGAGCGGAACATCAGCCGCTTTTAAAGTCTAATCTTTTCCAAGCTACAGTTACTTTATAAACATGTCTTCTATGCTTAAAGACTGAAGTCATGGGAAGAAATGGGTTTTTATCAGAGCTTAAAGTAGCTCAACCCCCTCAGATCTTTGTGCAGAGGCCAGACTTTTGATGTGCTTTGGTGCAGTACATTTGTTTGCTGACAGTTTGTAGATTGTTGTAACAGAGCTCAAGCTAATGTGCACTGATAACGGCTGTAGGCGCACAAAGCAGATAAGTCGAGTTTTCCCTCCTGATGCTAGGCATTACGTATTAGAAATGACATTAATGATGCAATCTGTTATTTCGATGTAATCTGGATTCAAAGCCTGCAGTGTACCCGAGTGTCTGCACAACAGGCAGAGCCTTGTTGAGTTTTTTTTTCTGTAGCTGCTTCTGCTTTTCATAAAAAGTTAATGACTTCTCATGAATGTGGAGGAATGTCAGATTCAGAAGGTCTGGATTCAGTCTCTGAAGTTACATAAGAGGGGGGCCCATACCCAGAGCAAGACGTAATGCCTGCACAAGCCTGAGCGCTGCTATTTGGGCAAATTCTGACTCTTCTCATTAGCATCACATACAAAACAAGTTTTGGTGGTCTCCAAGACCTCAATGTACTGCTGGAAAGAATGTGGTTTCCAGATCTTTCTCTCCGTTTATCCCATTCATGAACACTGCAACATCAGATCTATTTTCAACACTGCCATTTTCTCTCATTTAAATGTGTTTTCTTTTTTTTCCTTCAGATTCCCAGTTCCCCATTGACATTTCTCCAGTGAAAAGAGATCATGACTTTCTGGACAAAGATCTCGTGGAACCTCTGTGCAGGTATTCAAACATGGGTCATCCATGACTCAGATGAGTCAATGCCACAAATAGAAAGCAGAACTATTCAACAAACCCTAAATATAAACGGTTGTCACATCTTTGGATTGCAAGAAAAAACTGAATCCGCTGATGTAAACCCTTCTACCCACATTACTGAGTGATACTGCATTTGACTTTTTTCCAAGTTTGCCTCAAAGAATTAAGAACATAAAACTCACACTAAGCCAACAACTGGTGGCTCCATACCACTCCCTTGTAGGGCCAGACAGCTCGTGTACTTTTTTTCAAGCGCAGATGAAAACAGCGCTTTAGTTACCCCAGTAACCACAGCAACCGTCCCGCAAGAGAAGCAAAAGGAGCGTGAGGGTTGCCTCGCACAGCTCAACATACTGCGAACTCTAAACAACTCGAAAGCGACTCATCTGAATTCCAAACTAGCCACGGGATAAATAGAAGACAATTGGAAACAGTTCCACCTCCAACGTGACTTTGCCCATACATCCCAGCGTCTCTATGGCAACATAAGGTTGGTTTTGTTGTCAGTTACGCAATTACAGTCTAGTGTGCAGAAGTAACTGCCTCCCACACACCATGGGTGCTTTGACAGCGCTGGAATTGAAGGATATTTCATGTATGTGAATGCTGTCTCTCTCTGATCCCAGGCTGAGCAGGCTCCTATTTTAAAACCCACATTCAAAGCTCTTTAGGCCTGTGGAATAAAAGGCCCCCAAGTTTCAAATCCTCTCCTCACTCAGGTCCCACTATCTACGGCAACAATCATGAGAACTCTTTGTTTGGTTAACCCCTGTCATCAACAGCACCCGGTCGGATAGTTACAACCTCCGTGTGAGCCCGTTAACTGTGGCAGAACAATAAAGTCAATCTGTAAAAAGACTGTGAGCAGTATGAGGAGCTGTTAAAGCGTCTTATTATCACACCACAAAGGAGTGCCATTGAGCTGCAGTGCACTTTGTCATGCCGTCATCTTTTCCCCTGCGCTATTGTTGGTTCATGTGAGGTTATTTGTGCTGTTACTTTAAATATTCCAGTTTGCACACCCATGAAACCTCTAATCACTGAGCACATGTTCCAAGACTGTATGGTGGATGACAAATATTGAAAATGTTCAATAGTTCTTTCATGAGTATTTCAAATTAAACTGCTGAAAACAACCTTTAATGCCACGAACACTTCAACACAGCGCTAAAAGAAAGAGAAGAGAGCAGGCATAAATTACTGTTGTATATCAGGTTTGGGATACTGTTCCAGGGACAAACTGAATTTCCCTCTGGGCCTGGTTGTACATCCCGACCTGAAGCTGATTCACTTATTGCTCAAATAGCATAAACAGAACAGGATGTATTTCTGGAGTAGTCATTAGAAAACAATTGTAATTTGTTCAGAACAGTTTTCATCCTCTGGACATTATTTTCTTTCAGGCGACTCAACACCTTGAACAAGTGTGCCTCTATGAAACTTGACGTGAACCTTCCGAAGAAGAAAGTAAGTGTCAGCTCTGGATTACATGCTTCATCGTCAAACTAAAAGCTTTTGTGGTGTTTGACTTTGAAGGTGAATAATTGGACAACAAGCATGACTCTAAGCTTGAATAAGGTTAAAATACTGGTGATTAAGTGTGTACCTTTTTTCTAGTGAAGAGTTAATGGATAAGTGGGTGTCAAGGTTTTCTCTCTGTGAATAGACTGTTTTGAAATATAACCTTGTGTTACATACAGTACCTCTTAAGGTTTGTTGTCTTTTTGTTCACCTCTAAAAGCTTTACTTCTCAACTTGAATATCGCTTTGTCATTTGAAAAGTGTAAGAAGTACAAGAGGAACATTAATCCCGCTATAGAAAGTGATGTTTTCTTACAAAGACTGCCTGAAGTTATGCATATCCTTCCTGCACTGACACACATACACTCTGGTTTCATCCCTCTACCCCAGATTCTGTGATATTTGAGATTAGACTATTGTCGTATTCATGTTGTTGAGTAGGACAGCTTTTTATCTGTTCCCACTTTTGGAATGCAGCCTGCTGGCTCATATTAATGATTTTTCCTGTTTGGTCTATTTATGGAAAAGTCTTCAAGTCAAAGGAATCATTTGTCTGGTGTTATATCACTGTTGGCTAGGTTGTATAATGTTTTTAATTCAGCGCAGATCCCTTAGCTATTTCCTACGTTTCCTCTTTGAGTGTTCCTTAAAGCGTAGATGACATGATGCTGCACAGGATTTACCTCGGAAGCCAGAGGATTTTTTGATTTTCATTTTTTACAGAAACAAAAGCGCCTGAATTCTTTTTTGAGAAAGGGGGGAAGGTTTGAAACATTTGTCAATCCCTTATTCTGTTTCCACACTGAACGGATGTTGATATGAATGCATGATTCATGGACAGTTATTAAGGTCTTATTTGACAGACCTATAAATAGAAACATTCATTTCCACAAGGAGACTTAAGATAGCTAATTAAATCATGTGGGCTGGAGTTAATTGTATAACATAATCTCTCTTTCCTCAGAGTGAAGACTCTGATGAAGAAGACTTGTTTGCTATCAGCGACAAATGGACATTTGAGTGGAGCAGCCGGCGCTGGTCCAGATTGCAAGATATTGACTGTCTGCTGGAAAGCCAGGGAGAGGGTCATCCTTCCAGGGACGACGTTCCTCTTAGAACCACCACCAGCAGCGAGAGCGTTCTGACTGACCTCAGTGAGCCGGAGGTCTCTTCTCTGCATAGCGAGAGCAGCGGCGGCAGCGGTCACAGGGGCCTCAGCGCAGAGGACTCTGACTGCTCCAACCGCACCTGCTCAGATTCCGCTGCAATGCCAGACTCTACTTCCCTCACAATGCCTCACATCCCCAAAGAGATCTCTCACTTCGGCTCTATAACTGACAAACACGGCAAGACAGGCCGAACCCGTGCCAAAGACTTCCTGAAGCGTATGGATACTCTGCGTTCCAGGGGAACTGTGGGAAGAGGCCGTAAGACGATAGTGATCAGTGCTCCAGTTCTGCAGGAGGAGGCCCAGGCACTGAAGACGCTGCGATGTGTGGAGATAATAAATGGAGAAGTAGAGGCTTCGGAAACACCGTCCAACAAAGTTGTTCCATCCCAGTCCAGCAGTGAGGGCAGCAGCCATTCAAGCGGCAGTGCTGTCAGCACACCCAGCCTGAAGGAGCGTAAGCCTCACCGAGCCGACTACAAGCGCAGTGGCATGTATTTGGAGGACGTCGACATCTTCTCAGGCAACCAAGTGAATAAAGTTGCAGAACAAAACCGCAGGAATGAATTCTGCTCCCATGAAGACCTGGTGGTCCACATTCCCAAAGACCACAAGCCAGGAACCTTCCCCAAAGCACTGTCCATAGAGAGCCTGTCCCCCACCAACGGGGCTTCTATCAACTGGCACACAGGCAGCATGCACCTGGAATCCCCACCACTCATTTCATGCAGGAAGGAATCTAGACCTGTCACCCAGTGCTGCTCCAGAGGCAGCCGCATCAGCGTGTATGATAATGTTCCTGGCTCCCATCTGTATGCCAGCACAGGAGACCTGATAGACCTGGAGAAAGAGGACCTGTTCCCCCACCTGGACGATATCCTGCTGCATGTCAATGGCTTACAGCAGATTGTGGACCACTGGTCTCAGAATGTGTTGCCTGTCGCAGACGGATTAGCGCAGGTGGACAGAGAAGGGAGAGAGGACACAGTAGGCCTCCAGTCTTCAAGCCAGATCACATTGGACTTTGAGGGAAATTCTGTCACAGGAAGTCAGACCACACCAAGTTACGGGGATGGAGATAGAGTTTCGTTAGCTGAGACGGAATCTACGCCGCTCAGGGAGAGGAGGGACTCAGGAGTAGGTGCTTCACTCACAAGACCCAATCGGTAAGACACATGGAACTGTAATGAAAGTCCCAAATATTTTTCAATTACTATAGTTAAAGGCACAAGTGAACTAAGACAAAAAAAATATGTTTAAATGTCTTTTTATTTATTTTGACAGGTTACGATGGCCCAGCTTTCAGATATCTAATCGCATAAGTCACTCAGTAGCATCCCTGCAGATCACCAACCAGTCAGCAGGCCAGCTCAGTTTGTTGCAGAAGTTTTCTCTTCTGCGCCTAACTGCGATTATGGAGAAGTACTCCATGTCTAACAAACATGGCTGGACTTGGTAAGTCTCATTTAACTTAACAGATCCACTCTGTCATTAATTACATCTCTTAAAATGTAAACTTACAACTACAATGTATCTAGATTTCATTTTGGCTCAACCCCTTAAAGTACTGTATCACCTTAAAGCTCCTTTGGGAAGATTTTGTCAGGTTATGAAACAGACTGAAATTAAGATTGTCATATTATATTTAACATATTAAATGTGAATGCACATTTTTTTCTCTTTCAACATCATAAACCCTGTGTATAGACTCTTAGCATCTCATCAAATATGTTTCTGTCTCTCACAGGTCAGTGCCAAAGTTCATGAAGAGAATGAAGGTACCAGACTATAAGGATAAGAACGTGTTTGGAGTGCCTCTCATCGTGCATGTGCAACGTTCTGGACAACCTTTGCCGCTTGGCCTGCAGCAGGCGCTACGCTACCTGAGGAGCCAGTGTCTTGACCAGGTCAGCCACAGTACACACACTCTTAGGTTACAGGTTACATGGCTTATCTAATGTGAATACTGTGGTGTAAAGTTTCAGATTTCACTTACACAGGTTGTAGGGAAATACAATAGTAGAAAAGTAACAATGCAGTGAGAGGGACCTCTGTACAATGTAGTTACATGTTGCTTTCATCCTCCAGGCTAACCTAAAGATTTCTCTTTTATGTATAGGTGGGTCTGTTTCGTAAGTCAGGGGTGAAGTCTCGGATTCAAGCTCTCAGGCAAATGAATGAGAACTCTCCAGACAATGTGAACTATGAGGACCAGTCTGCGTATGATGTGGCCGACATGGTGAAGCAGTTCTTCAGAGATCTACCTGAGCCTCTGCTCACGAGCAAACTGGGAGAGACTTTTCTTCACATCTACCAATGTAAGGACTTTTTCTTTGGCGTTAACCTTGTTGTGTCGACCGATTTTATCTCTATTTGGAATCACTGTTAAACTGCACCTGAACCCTAAGCAAAGGGCATAGGGCTGGAGTGAGAATGAAATTTCAAATCCAGTAAATGACCTTGGATGGTTCATTCTCTCTTCTATCAGTCTGTCTGTTAAACAGAAATAACAGGAATCCTTTCTCTCAAACTTGCAGATGTGCCAAAGGACCAAAGGTTACAAGCCGTCCAGGCAGCCATCATGTTGATGTCAGATGAAAACAGAGAGGTGCTGCAGACTCTGCTCTGTTTCCTCAGCGATGTCACTTCCTCTGTGGAGGAGAACCAGATGACACCCATGAACATTGCTGTTTGCCTGGCTCCGTCACTCTTTCATCTCAACATACTCAAGAAAGACAATCTCTCACCCAGGTACTTTTTTTTTTTTAAAGTCTTCTAGTTTCCACATCTAATAAATGACACATGCATGGATCCTATTAACTCCTGCATGATTATCTTCACCTATGACTCCATAAAGATAGACATAAAATAGGTTAAAGAGTTTGCTCAGCCCTCAGGGGTACAGTAGATTGCTCTCTTTCTGAGCCAGTTTTTAAAGGGCATCGCACTCTTTTTTTTTAAAGCTCAATGTTTTATGAGGTCATGCTGTGTACAAACAAACCATAGCGCTCTAATTTACCGTGTTGAAATTGTTGCTCAAGAGATCAAAGGGGTTTCCTGCAGAGCGGAGGAAGGGTTTATATACTGTGTTCCAGAGGAACGTTGACTTAGTGACACGACTGGCCTAATAAGTCTTCTCTCCCCAGGGCCATGCAGAAGAAGTATGCCACTGGCAGGCCGGACCAGAAGGACCTGAATGAAAACTTAGCAGCGACTCAAGGCCTTGCTCATATGATCATAGAATGCAACCGTCTCTTTGAGGTGAGAGAAGAACCTGTTGTTGAAATGATGCAATAATGTCAAGCCTGGTTGCAATCCACAGGAATGCCTTTACGTATGATGCCTTGATTCTTACCACATGCTTTTGTACACCCATTAGATCCCTCATGAGATGGTTACTCAGTCGCGTAATTCATATGTGGAGGCTGACTTGCATGCACCAACAATCGTCGAGCTGTGCAAGCAGCTGGAAGATGATGATGGAACGTACCAAACTCATATGGAGGGGAGGCTTCAGAACCTGCTCAAAGAGGCCCGGGAAAAGTCGAAGTACTGGGTGTCCTGCAGCAGTTCTGACAACACAGAGCTCTACTATAAGAAGGTTAGTGTTCCTACTTTGAAATTGTTTCAAATAAACTGTGATAGTATATCAGAATATTCCCAATGTCAATGAGTTTTCAAAAAAAAAGAGCATAAAATGCTTTATACTTCAGGCATGGATGTAACATTCTGATCTTCAAGTTAATAAGAAGGTTTGTGTCGATGTGTCTCCTCCAGGTGGGAGATGGGAACCCTTTGAGACGTTGGAGAGTCTCCGTGGAGGTGGAAGCGCCACCATCTGTGGTGTTGAACCGTGTGCTGAGAGAGCGCCACCTGTGGGACGTGGACCTGCTCCAGTGGAAAGTCTGTGAGACACTGGACAAGCACACAGAGGTGTTCCAGTATGTCCTGAATCGCATGCCTCCTCATCCTAGCAGGGACTTTGTAGTGATCAGGTAAGATTATAAAATGGTTATTAAAAAAAATAATGTTTTGGAAGGGGCCATTGTCCATACTCAATCTATTTCTGTTTCTTTAAGGTCATGGAGAACAGACTTGCCAAAAGGTGCCTGCTCCCTGGTCTCTGTGTCTATAGAGCATGAGGACTGTCCCTCTGTTGGAGGGGTACGCGCAATAGTCCTGGAGTCCAACTACCTACTGGAGCCCTGTGGCTCAGGAAAGTCCAGACTTACTCACATCTGCAGAGTGGACTTGAAGTAAGACCTGTTAGCATTTTCTCAGCATCTCTTATTACAATGCTTTTTTACCACACATAAATCAATTCCTTTTTTATGTGCGACTTACCTTTTACTTTGAACTATTCATTTGAAGCTCCTTGTTCTTGCTTAAATGCTCTTTTGACTTAATATACTGTTTTGATTTCAGGGGAAGGACTCCAGATTGGTACAACAAAGCCTTTGGTCATCTTTGTGCGGCAGAAGCTGCCCGAATTCGTAACTCCTTCCAGCCTTTAATCACTGATGGCCCGGAGACCAAAATCTGAAACTTTGTCTGCTCAGCGATGAGATCAAGATTGAGCCTTTGAGTCATTGCTAACAGGCAGACATAATGCATTGACAGAGCCCCAGAACTAAAGCACAGTTTCTATCAGCCCTAAAAAAAAATAATTGGAGCTCCTCTGTACTTGCACAATGACAAGAGGACATCTTATAGGTGCTGAGCATAAATACTCAATGGGAAATTAATCATCCTGCCAATGTCCACAGAGTTAGGATTTGATGTACCTTCATGTTGCTAAACCTCTCTGTAATAATTATTGTTATCTTTAATAATATTATATTACTGTTACTTTAATCTACAATGTCTAGGACATTCAAGCTCTTAAATGCTTCTGGGAAGCATGTTTATGTTATTCTCTTCAGATTTAAGCTATAATTATGATACAGACTCAAGTGTCTTTGTAAATATGTGAGTGAATATACTGTACATGCAAACACAATGTAAATATTGTATATATGTAAAGGGTTAAATAGTGAATATGTTAATATCCTATATATTGATTTTGTCAGTGTCAACCTTCCTGTAATACACGTGGTACACAAGTGTAAGCTGGTTTTACTTTGCTTCAGTATTGCCATTTCTTAATGGGTGTAATTTTATTCAACTTTGACCTCCTATGGTTGTAAAATGAATGACTTAAGGTTTGACTCGATCATACCTGCTTAAGGGTACTGGATTGTGAAGTCAAGGACAAAACACATCCTTTTTTAATAAAACTATCAAAAACAAGGTTTCATTCACTGATTCTTATTCATGCTGTCACATTAAAGAGACTTATCAAGTAAGAAGGGGTCTAAATATATGTTTTGGACAATGAATATGAAACTCTTTAGCAGCCTCTGTGCAAGTAATAGCATACCACAATCAAATTCTGCAATTCATTTAGAAGACGCTTTTATCCAGCAAGACGAACATCAGAGAACACAAGCAAGGATCTAGAGAGGAGTACCCAAATATCGTCATCAACAGCTGTTATTGAGAAGCATCAAAACCATCCTAAATACCATCATCTTCATCATCAATATCATCAAATATTATCGACTATGCTTCTCATAAGCGTTTACTTTTACTGTCATTGATGATATTTATCTTTGATCTGGGATGAGAGCGACCTCTACTGGCCATATGGAGTAAATACTTGACTGCAGGCAGTGAATAAGAATGAGATTTATACGGACACTTTATCTGAGCTTTTCACTTATTTATGATGTTAACATTGTCGTGTTAATTGCAGGGGAGGGGGTGGGGTGGGAGGTCTTTGTCATGTTTGCCCACTAGATGGGCAACCAACCAACATAAATGGAAAGGATCATTCATTATAACCAGTACAGAATCATGGCAGGCTTTACTGAAACAAGTGTTACATGAACATCGCTGCAGCTGACTGAGTCTGAATCTGAGCCTCCTATATGGCTCCTATATGTTCCTGGTGTGTGATCTGCAAAGTCAAACCTCCTCCATTGACCTCTATTCAGCACTGGCAGCATTTATGGATCTCACTGGAATGGGGACCAGCAAGATTAACTGAGGAGGTGGGAGCATCGGAAGGATGAATTCATGGAAGCGACTTTAAAAGGAGATTTTTATGAGAGCTGAATTTAAAAAATGCAAAGGACCGAGACGCAAATGATAAAACAATGCTGCCTGATTAAAATAAACATGTAGATGAAGTTGCCATTGATTAGCCCAGAGATATGGCACTTCGAAAAAAATAAGACATTTATATTTGCACATGAGCCTTTTAAAACAAAACATCACAGGATGAAATGACATTTCATTCACTCTTAGGATAGCGGGCCAATTAGTCAGATTGACATTGTTCAGCATTGCATTACAGCAAATTAAATCACGCTTTCACACTGCTCAGTTGTATACATGACAGGTACAGCTATATAAAGCCTGACATTATTTCTACCTCTTTTGATGCCATGCTGACACTGTTCAGCTTAAAGAGGATGTGAAATGCTAGCTCAGCTTCTGGCTGTCAGTCAGCCAATGAACAGGATTGTTGCCAAGCTGACAGCATCAGTCTCTTATATAATCACTTCAACACTTTTTGTTATGTTGTTTACTTGTATATTTCTTTCCATACAACTTTGGCAAAGCAAAATGGTTCAAGTTGGAGAGATGTTGGAGAAGTAAATCTTGTTGTTACATAAAACATCAATCAATCAATCAATAATTGTTTGTATAGCGCCAATCCATAACAAGTGTTTTCTCGAGACGCTTTAAGAAAGGGCAGGTAAAAGACCATTGTTAAAAAAACCTCTAAAACAAGAGAAATGAATGACTTAGGGTCTGAGAAGTAGGCAGTAAAGAGCACTGTTTGTGAAATACAATGCATAGATGCACTGCATATACTTTAAAGTAATGCATGGCACGTTGTTTATCCACTGGGGAAAAATGCATGTGCAAAAATAATGGATATAAACCATGATTACAAATATTAAATAACCAATGTCTATTCCACAAATGCCTGTGTATGTTTAAAATTCTGCCAGTATAACCTGTTTAATGTTTTAACATGCAGAGTAGCAACTCACCAGCAGCACTGAGAGAAAACTTGACCTGCAGTCGACCAAGGAATTAATCTCAGTTTAATATGATTTGTTTTACTGCTCTGCATACATGACTATCAAGTGCCACCTTTGTGCCTCACACCTGCTCAACTCTAATGAAACCAGTACACGTATGTGAAGAAAATAAAGTAGTGAAGGGTAAGAACGATACAGACTGCGTTTCCAGACACGATTTTGTCGGATGTTTGTATGAGGTCTGAAGCAAAACTATTACCTGCATGGCTCAGTGTGTGTGTGTGTGTGTGTGTGTGTGTGTGTGTGTGTGTGTGTGTGCGCGCAGCATAGTCTTAATGATAACCTTAAAGATAGGCTACCTAGTGTTTTAATAAAAGCATCCATCGATACAATTCTCCTTCCCAATGTTATAATTTTAATGAACTCTTAATCATTTAAATAACATTGACATGGCTGTAAAACTCAGATTAAATTTCAGTATTTGCACATTGCTCTTAGAAGCCTAAAAATGGACCAGGTATTTTGATAGTATAGCAACATGGCAGTCTGAGAAAAACCTAATTATTTATTTCTTTGTTATTCTGATGACAATGTGATCTGTTTGACCCAAAGGGCCCGGAGAGAAATGATTGTAGGACTCAAACATATTTGCATTGAAACCTGTCAGAGTAAGTTTGGATATATCGGCTGCTGATAGCCTACAGCCGTATATTTTCTGATAGTAGTCTCACAACAGGGACACCTGAATGAACATTTTATATGGTAGCCTATAGGTTGCTCATGCCATGACTAAATAAGTCTCCCTAAGCCTACAGATAGGCTCACTAAAGTGTAAGAATGAAAAAATAAAAGTATCTGAAAACATGTTTTGTCCTTCTTTTCGTTGTTTGACTTCAATTTGATATCAAACTTTGATATTTCTTTGGGTTCCTTATTTTATTCTTATGTTCATCTTTGTGCTCCTGTAGCCTATCCCTTGAGAGGATTTTTTATTATAATGTTGCCTAGTTTAGTCTTAAGTATTTCCTGTTAAATTTCAGAGTTCTTGCCCCTTGTGTGTCAGGTCTTGTTTTACTTTCTGACCTTGTACTGTATTAGTCCTATAGTCTAGTGTTTCCTGTTTTACTGTGTAGTTCTTTATCCAGTGTTTCATGTCATTCACTTCGGGTTTGGAGATTTCCCCACGTAGCTTCCAGTGTTTTCCCGGTTTATCCTTGTGTTGGCTCTTTAGTTGAACATCTTATTTCCATGGACTTTGAATGAAGTAATCTTTAGTTTTTGCCTTTTCAGCTTTTGTTTACATAGCCCTACATCGTTTTCTGTTATTCTGCATGTGGGTCCTCTAGGACAGGGGTTCCCTAAGAGGGGGTCGCAAGACATTGAGAGGGGGTCGTGACATTCCTTTCAAAATCATACAAAAATTAAAATAACTAATCAATTGAACATTTTACCCATTATTGTGAATATATCTACAAAATAAAGTAGTTCAAGAGATTAATTATGTTCTGCTTCTAGCATTTCTTACAATAAATTACTTGAATAAAATTAGCCTATTCGCCTGCCAGCATTGAATGTTTTAACCACCTCCATGGACAGTTTGGGTCCCCAGTCTCTAGCAACTTATTTTGGGGGTCACGGGTCAAAAAGTTTGGGAACCCTTGCTCTAGGATACCCTCATTGTGACAATTTAGGCTCTGAAGACATGTAGCATAAATTAAACCTAGTAACTTCCGACTGCCATTTTTTGCTTCGGAATCAAGTTAAATGTTTGTGAATTAGCCTAGACCAGGGGTGGGCAACTGGGGGCCTGGGGGCCACATGCGGCCCCCATCAACCCTCAATGTGGCCCTCAGGTCAATTTTTACATATCAATGAATTGGAAACATGAAGAAAATGTGACAAAATCTGCCATGAAATCATGAAAAACAGAAATATGTCCATAATAATATTTGATCACTGGTATATGTTGAGTCAAATTTGAGACAATACATTTTTTTTTAGAATTGATCGTTTTTGTATACTACAATTTGGCCCTTTGGCAGGGAGAATTAATTGAATGTGGCCCTTGTCGTGACCGAAGTTGCCCATCCCTGGGCTGGACTATCTGCGGTAGGTTTATATCTTGTCTGTGCAATAGGCTATTTCTTGTTTAAATGTAATTCAACCAGCACTGCCTTTATTGGCCAACAGACTAACTTTATCAAAAAGCCTACATGTTTTTGTTTTTTTTGTAATATGATAGCCTCACGCTGTTTGCATTTTATCTCATAAGGGACCATTAATGAAGCACTCTGCTAAGTTAGTCCTGTCATCGGTCAGGCTCTTCATCATTGAAGCAGCGCAGGCGTGTTGAGAGTGAACAGCAGGCAGGGGGCGGCAACATGGCAGTGACAGCAGCAGCAGCAGCACAGGCAAGGAGACGCTCGTCCAAGAGAGCAGCGGCACATACACACATCTTTGTGTACACAGCACAGGTCAGTCAGCTCAGTTAACCGACCGGCACCGACAACACACCGGACTCCCTCCCCGAAACTCCTGAGAGTGGATTTTACTTGCAGAGAGTGGGTTTCCTGCCGGTGTTTTGTTTTTGTTTCTCGGGGTTTCCCGAGTGTTCTTCTCTTTCATTTCTTTTTGATGCTTCAGAGCAGTGAGCCAGTTTATTTCAAGGGGAAAGCGTATAAACCGTCTCTGAAGAGCCTCCCGGTGTGGGGGGGCTAATGACAAGCGAGAGACCGGTGACCATGCCGGGCTCTGTGTCGCTCTCGGACCGACAACCTCCTCCAGGACACCGGCAACACGCGGCCGCTGCAGCCGGTGAGACAATGATGATGTCCGGCTCAGGTTCTGTGGTCCTCCCGGCTGGGGTTATCAATCCATCGCTTCCAATCCGGAATATCAAAATGAAATTTGCCGTTCTCATCGGACTGATACAAGTTGGAGAGGTTAGCAACCGGGATATTGTTGAGACTGTGCTGAATTTGGTGAGTAAACCTTTTTTTTTTGCTGCTTAAGAATGTGTTACAGGATGTTCTTACCTAATAGTCTAATGCAGTGCTATACAGTAACCGTGACTAAGTTTTAATGAAATGTCCCTTTAACATCGAAATTGCGCAAATGTTTATAAAATGAATTTTAACAGGATACTCACATGAGTAGGTGACCCCAGGATACACCTGCGAGTAAAAGCTGTGAGCGTTCAAAAGTGCACACATGCACACACACACACACACACACACACACACACACACACACACAGAGAGGACACTGAATCAAAGCCAATGGGCCAAGTTTTTTTTTTTTTTTTTTTAAAGTTCAGCAAAGTCCAAACTTCATGCAAATGAACCGGCCAGTTTGGATGAGGATTTCAATGGAGATAAAGTGAATTTCTGCTGGGATTTAAGTCAAATTGGAGAATAAAATGGCCTCGCATTTGCATGTACCTATATGTTAAGTGAAAAGGTGCAGGGGGCATCTGCTGCTAACTGTGTGTGTGTGAGTGTGTGGGAGGATGATTCAGGGAGCCCTGACTTGAGCATCTCCATCACAGGGATGTAGGCCTACTGTATGATGAATTAGAATTGCTTTATGGTTCAAGATGTTGTCAGTGTGTGTGTGTGGGGTGAGGATTTGGCATGTGCAGTTTTGCAGCACTGTAAATAGAACCAATATTCTGTTCTGGTTCTGCTCTTAAGTTCTTGTTGGAGTATGCCGGTCATAACGTTGTCTTTCAAATTCAAAGGCAGCATTTTTTGTATTGTCCTGTTTTCCCTCCACATTTGAAACAGGCATAGGGAGTCTGTTGTAATAATTCACTATGATTTTATTTTTTATTTTTTTTATCATTTTACCTGCAGCAAAGTGAGAGAAAACTGATTGTCATCTCAAGGGTGGGAGGAAATTAAGTCTATGGTATGACCATAGCATAAGAATCCTGATTCACTTTGCTAAAAATGTTGTGACATGAAACAGCCTTAGAATTAAGCCTTTAAAAAACCTTTTCAGGAGTACTAAAGCTGAGCCTGTTTGCAGGAATTGGCTTCTCCTTGTTAGCACACTAGAGATTAATTATGACCTGCATTGCTACAACAGAAATCCACTTTGTGGAGCAGGACAAATTGTAGCCCTTGGCATGTTCAGACACGAAGAGTTCTGCAACGGCTGTAGTCTCTGACACCTTGGTCCTTTCACACTTTGCAGTGCTATTTTCACAGGAAATGTGCTCAAGGAATAACACGCTACAGTCTACAATGATTTTGTCACCATTTGATTAAAATATGATCAATGACCACTTCAAGTACATGTGCAGGCTCTTATGTAGATGGTCATTCCCCTGTTTTGTTCTGCTATCCATCATGTCAAAGAGGCATTTTGCTTCTCTGTGCAAGTTTGCAGTTCAAAGTATTTATGCGTGACCTTGTATTTAACATACAGTAGAGCATACCTAATCAAAACACTTATCAGTCACTCACTGGTTTCAAACTCTCGAATAACAAATTTAATTAAGAGATTTTGTAAGTGCTTCACTGTGGTTGGGTATTTAGTATTTTGGTTGTACTTGACTTGTTTCCAAACAGAAAAACAACCTCCATCTAAATTATGTGCATATAAATGAAGCAGATATAATGCAGCACTATTGGGACAAGATGACACAGTAATTGTTAGCGTATCAGTCAGTTCATCAAAATTGCACAAAGAGTGTACACACTGCACAAGCCAGGGCTGCAGAGAGCTGTTTGCAACCAACCCCAAGAGCAATGACCACAAGAACTTTTCTGCTTGTAAGTTCAGGATGTTTTTGAGTGTATAGAGGGTCTGGAGATCCCCAACTATATCTCAGGAGGTCTAATTTGTGCAGTGATGAAATGGTAATGTTTTCTGCAACCACTAAGGAGTATCTTGGAAACATTTGGAGGGAGGATCCTGGTCTGAACATCTTCTGTGAAAAACTATCTAAATCTTTTATTTGAGCTTCAGTGTTTTTGAACTGCCAAGAATAGAACAGGGATGATAAAATAGATCGGACATGACGGTTTATTTATCAGAATGAGAGCCTTAGACGTAACCAACCTTTTGATGTTCGAGATGTGACATTAGGCATGTCATAAGATTTAAACGGTGCATTTTGAACTGAATTAGGCACAAAAAACCTCCAGAGTGTAAAGCATTAAATTATGCTGATCCAAAACCCTCTGCTCTGTATCTACCTACATGCTTCACTCTGTGCCAGGAATTTTTCCCATTTAGAATGACATTATCTAATTATTTCTCTGAATTACTCCATTTTTACTCAAAACATCTGAGTAGAAATAAACACACTGGTCTGTTAGTGTCCTGATTGACCAAAAACAAGAGGAATGATGTGAATAATGGTGTGATAAGTGTCCTCTTGGGCCTGAATAAGCACATAAAATAGTTGGCAACAATAGACCTCAGGTATAGAAATAAGACAGTGTAAGGCAGCTCTTTTATTATTTTCTGATCAGATGATTGGATCAAATGTTCAGCAAAGACTTTGTAGTGCTGTTGTTTATAGTCAGAACCATCTGCAGCTTTTCTGAGCCGCTCAGGCCGCTATCACCCTCTGATCATAAAGGTCAGACACTGAATCAAATTTGGTATAAACAAGACAATATTGCTTGTTGTTGTCCGGCCACAAAGATAGAAACAAATAGCATTTTTCTCATACTGGGATGTGCACTTCCTTTGCACGTCTGAGTCGGTGACTACCTGCTTCCTTAAGATGAGAAAACAGAGTGGGTATACTTCTATTGGGCTAATTGCAACTTGGTATGAATCATTCAATGTGCAGATCTCTGACAAAAGAGAAGGATGCATTACTCAAACGCAAGCCAAGTATGATCAAGTGCATATTTTAGAATGGTGTGACCTGTACAATTAGGAATTAGCTTTCCAAGCACATCTTCATCTTGACTTTTCATGTCTTGTTACAGTGGCAGCACAATGGTGTGAAACATAACTTCACTTTCATTTCAGAAATATATTGGGCTTTTGACAGCAAAGATAGAAAGCAAGCTGAGATGAATTGAATCAGAAAATTGACAATTTTGTTATTTTATGCGCTTAAGGATTTGTTATGATCACTAGATGCCAATTGAAACTAACAGGCACAATGATGCACACATTAATAAATTAGTAATCACTGATCCCTGCTCTTTCTGATTACATGATGCTTTTAAGCTCATTTGAACTGAATCCAACTAAATGAAAAGAAACAATAACACACATGAATTAGTGCTGCCAATCAATTACAAAATCAAATTGTAATTAATTACAGTAGAGACTGTGATGATCAATCACAATTTTAAAGTACTCTAATTTACTACTTTTTAATGATTAAAACATGCCGTGTTAAAAAGGAAAGAAAGCTACTAGCAGCCTGTTGCAACACAGCCAAATAGGTGATTTGGGATTTTGGTGTGGCATCTTCAGATTTCAGGTGGGGCCTAGGCCACCCTCTGGATCCAACTCTGCTGTCCAGGCAAAATCACCTGAGTCCACCGAGCTCCTCAAGCTCACCACACACATGGAGGCGCCTATAAATCAACATGGATGCAGACACAGGACCCCTCAGACAACCACATTTACACTGTACAATTTTAGGTTTCCAAACTTCTTTCCATTACTCTCTGCGTAATAAAAACAATGAATGGCTTTCCCTACTGCAACAGAAGGCACCTTTTTATCATTTTCTTCTGGAGTGACAGTCTTGAAGCCAGATTGCTCTATAATAATGCATAAACATCTCCACACGCTGTGAATGAGTCGATCAGGATATATTACCTCTGAAGTTATGCTAATGCAGTGCGGTTGAGATACCTTTCATTACTGAGATCTGTGTATTAATGATGCCGATTGTCTGTTTTTCACAGTAGAAAGAGACTGCAGTACACTTTTTATACTTCACTGACAGTCCACAGAATGAAAGGGGAACATCAGGCTTCATGATCAAAGTTTGATATCAGTCTGTAAGATCTTTAAAGTCGTGAAGGATTCTTAGCTGAGTCTGCATCGCAGTTTGATATTTCATGTTTTTCAAAAGATTATTAAGGTGAATGAGGCTGCATGTTAGTTTGCACAAGTGGGAAATTCATATGATTAATTTGCTTTAAAAAAGAGATTACGGTGGCTGTGGCTCAGTTGGTAGAGTTGTCGCCTCTCAACCGGAAGGTCGAGGGTTCAATCCCCAGCTGGGCAACATGTCCGAGGTGTCCTGGGGCAAGACACTTAACCCTGAATTGCTCCCGCTGCTTCAGAGGCGGTGTATGAATGGGATTAGTTACTTCTGATACTACATAGCGATCACTACCATCAGTGTGTGAATGTGTAGGTGTGACATGCAGTGTGAATTATTAAATCTGTATTGAGTTTCCAATGACTTATTGCTGTCAAATGTATCGCGTCAGAGTTGCAGAGAGGGTTTGTGGTATGGCTGATGACCATACCAAGTGCACAGAAGGAAGGCTGATTTTAAGACACGCCCACAAGGCGATTTTGGACACCATTCGATTTGCCAGATGTGAGACCAGTTATCACAGCAAAGCAACAGGTGTTAGCGAAGGAGATGGACATAAAAAGCCTCTGCTTTTTTTCTTATAGGCGCCACGACAAGAAACGTGGTCAAACTAGGATACATATTGGAGATGCTTTTGAAAAATGGAGAGGGGTTAGAATGCAGAAAGGTTTCAAGACTTGTGCAGAGCTAGCCTAACACTTAAGCTTCAGTGTCTGTGACATGGCAACCCGCGTGAGCATTGACTCTAGGGAGGAGGAGGAGGAGGAGGAGGAGGAGGGGGCGGCGGCGGCTCAATCTAATGTTTTGAATTTGGTCTACAGTACCCATTTTAAACGCTACATGTCAAATGCCATGTTGCTCCTTTAAGCTGGACGTGGGAGTCAGTAGTTGTAGCTGCTTTCACAAACACACTCCCTAATTTCTGTCTGTCCTTGATTTTTTTTCAAG